TTTTTCAATTATTAAAATATAAAATATATCTGGCGATACCAAACAGTCAACTTTTATGAATTGCAAATCATATTTCCGGATAGAATAAACTTTCTATTAGATGAGTGTTAGTAATTCTAAGAATTATCTTTCATTACTTTTTTCTTTGTATTGCAAAATAGCAACACGACAACTGGTATCCTAATTACCTTCTCATTCTATTCTATTCTACTTTTTCAAACTATGTATTTACGTTTATATACTTTCATCATGAAGCTAGCTAGCTGTTCAATTGCTTTTTCAAATGTCTTTTCCTAAGCGTTAAATTGTTCTCACCGAATGTAGTTTGAAAACATTCGTTCCTTCAAAGATTTTCCATTCTCCGTTTCCTTTCTTCTCCCACCCCTCAATCAATCCATGTCTTGCTTAAGAATGACTCATTTCTTTATTTATTTATTTTTTTTTCAAGCTTTCTTATAAATTATTGTTTTAAAATTTTTGGGTTTTCTTTTGTTGGCTGCGTGTAATGTTGTGGAATATGTTTTTCATTTGAGTGTCTGTTGATTTCCTTTTTCAATTTATCGTTAAAGTGGTTTTTGCCATTCAATCCTAAACCATTTCATAAATTATGTTGTTTATATGGCAGTAAATTTTATTTGTTGAGTAATGAAATTTATCAGATAGATATGTATGCATGTATTACGAATAAACTATTTACTTATGTGTAGAAAATGGGTTTCGAAAGCGAAAAAAAAAAAATTGTTGTTAATGTTAAAGAGAACTTTGTGAAGATTTTTGAAGATCTAAAGAGATTTTTGAAATTTTTTTATTTTTTGAATCTTGGTAAATATTAATCTTAATATAACATTTTTTTCCTATTTTGAACAAACTTGTTTTGCTAAAGCATGAAGAATCACTTTTAAATTCAAAACGAATATCTCAAAAGTTTCACTACCAGCACTACTCTCACTTTGCATTTACTTTCTTTTAAAGCAATCTCATTGCAACAGACAATTTATGCAAATAATTGTATATAGCGAATAAAGATATGTGAAGAATTTAAGTAATCGGCAAAAATATGCAAGAAATATAAGTTTTGCTTACCAAAATTATTCTTCATATTTAGCAAAAACTACTTTTTTCTTTCTTCTTTTTTGAATAACTTACTCATATAATGTATTGATCTAATTATAGCACGGCTTTAAAAACGGATAAAACGGAAGAACAAATTGAGATCAATAGAAATTAAGGAGAACTTTTGGGGTTTATAGCGAACATTAGCGGGAGTAATTTTGTTGAGACAAATATGTTTTCCTTTTTTGATAGACAACATGTGTGAATGAAATGCATTTAATGTTGCGTCTGCAGCTATAGTGCAATCTTACAAACACATGTATTTATCGTGATTAGTATAAATCCTAATCGATCCTTAATGAATGAATCCATAAAAAGTTCATAAAGTTTAGACAACTAGCTACTCTTTACGATTTGAATATTTTATGGAATGACAGAATTTCCATACGAACATGTTTGGCTGTTATTATCCGATTATAACGTCTTATATTGCGAATTCAAGCATGGCAGCGGTATTCGCAAGACAACTCCTTTGTTTTCGTTCACCTCTCTGATTCATATTCAGTCGCCATATATCCATGTATATATATTCGACAAATTATTATAAGATATCTATTAGTTATAGCCTCCATCACTTGCAGAAAGACGGCATATTAAGTACGTACTTATGTTTAAACTTCCCAGAAGGAATTGAGATAGACCCACCTATTCACCAGTACACCGATCGATCTCTCGTGTCAATCTAAACTTGTTTGACAGTCCGTCAGTCTTGTTTTCCCGCGTTCATTCTACGGCCCGCAATATATAAAACATATTATTAAAATTTTGTACACTGATGTATTTTTGACCAAGGACGAACGTTCTTCAAACTACTTCTTCAATCGCTTCTCATATAACCCCTTGTTTTGAAAAGCCGTTACTTAAACAATGTAGGACGATATAGGGTAATTAACAATGACACGTGGCCCACTATAGTGATTTCACTTATTTTCTCTGTTTCTTCCCTTTCAACGTTGGACTAGAATATGTATGGGCCGTAGAGTTCTTTAATTGAAAATATTTCGGGAATATAGCGGTGATGCTTATTGAATATTTTTTGAAAATAATTTTATTTTAATCCTTCATTATATCTTTAACAACCTACTCAAATATTATTTTACTAATTTTTCTTTTCTCCGAAACAAATTGTTAAAAACACACTTTTTCATAGATTGTTACAATTGTGTTAACCCATAAGTAAAAATCAGTGGGTCAGTTGGTGTATTTCGTTTGGTTTTTATATTCAATTTCTACCAATAATTATCGGCCAAACACTTAGGCATCATCGATGAGTGCTTATCGTACTAACGATAAATTTCTGTTTGTATGATTGCACTATAATTATAATCGGTCCATTTATTACCTTTTACTCAAACATATTGTCGTTGCAAAAAAACGAAGAAGTACATAATTATCTCATCAAAATCCCTCTCACTAATGTACGTAATGTAGTAAAGGGCTCTCTTTAATCGCTATTGCAAAGAGTTATTTTACGACGAACGCACACAAGAAATTTTTTCCAAAAATAAGCAAAATTGTTGATAGTTTTAAAATTATTTTACTTCAAATTTTAAAAGCTATTGAAATAAATTACAATTTCCCGTATTGCATTTTGCCAACTCCAAGAGTTTTTTATAATTTGAATATATATATGTAAGATATGCATAGATAGATATGTAAGACATATATATATATATATATATACATATATGTCTTGAAATTACCTTTCGAACTTAATATCAATAAAATTTTTTACTTTATTAGAATTAAATCAAAAAACGAATCATCTAATCTAACTTTAAAAGAAAGAAGAGCTGGTAGTCATAGTTTCTGGGACTTATTCTGCTTTTGCTACTAAATTTTATTCTCTTGGTCTAAACTTGTTAATAATAACAATAATCAATATTTCACTTACCTTTTATCGACGTCTTGAAAATTTTCGCGATATTGAATTTTTACGAAATGTAAGTTATAAACCAGTAAATATCTTTTGTCGAATACGGACATGGACAATTGAACACGGATTAGAAAAGACAATGCCAAGACAAAGGACTTATCCTTCGGACACCATTGCAATATTCGCATTCAAATGTAAGAATTGGACATTAGTAAGCATGCACGGTACATTCCTACCAAAAAGGCCAAAAGGATTTTTCTTGGTGCGGCCCAGCAGACTGCGAAAACAATATTCGGAAATTTATTCTTGTATATGAGAACAAACCACAAACAACGGAAATTGCTTTTGAGATTCTGTTACTCCACTGACACTCACTAATTAGTTGCCTAAACTTTAATAAATTATTTTTTCCATATTCTGTTTGTCGAACCATTTATTTATTTAATAATTGCATATTTTTTATACTTTTATATATTGATATTTTCTTTAACGCGACCGAGTGCTCGATTTTTCGATTTACTTATTGTGTTGTTAAAACGATGTGTTTGTGTGTTTGTGTAATCGTTTCGTTGCCAATTCATAAGCCAGTATAAATAAAAACCGCATTATAACTAGCAATTCCCTTTATTTAAATGCTTCCTTCATATTTGCTATCGTGTAATTTACATTTCATTTATCTCGTGAACACACCCGAAACTAAAAACGAAGGCACCCGACTGCCACTTGACAATTTTTTTCGCCTAATTTTTTCCCTAGTTTTTTTCACACTGCCGCCATTGCTGTTTGTTAATTCTAAAATACATTTTACCGATTGCAATAAAGACGTCAACACTTTTTACTTCTTATTCTTATTCACACAAATTACAATTCAATGATTTTACTAACATTTATTATTTATTACATTTACTTTAATATCTGTTAGTTTTTTCGCGACAAATTTAGACACTTGAAAAAATTAATGAACGCGCAACAGACGACCGCGCTAAACCTCCGAACGTTTTTAAGAGATTGTCGTAACTAACTAATTCTTATATGAATGCCTTTGATTTAAGAAGATTTCGTCAAACTTCGTATGTTTTAATAATCTAACTCTCCTACGAACATTATCTATTTTCTCTTGAAAAATAATGCGAAAATAATGAGATCAAGTGAGATTTGATTTTTTTTGAGTAACATTTGGGATGACGCTAAACTAATAGCATAGTTATCCATTTCATTTCCTCTTTAATAAAAGAACAACAAAAATTCAATTTTGCTTATTATAAATGCAGGACGTGCAGGCTCGCTGTGGCAATGTTATTACAATAAAAATTTTTTATTATGTCCATCACTGAAGGATGAAGGACGTATTCATATCGTCAAAACGTTTGCAACGTCCAGAAAGTTGCATCGGAAATGAGCTTAAATGAACATAAACACTTTCTAAAGATATTGGTCTATGTGTATGGGAGAAATTAGAAATCAGCCACGAGTTAGATAATATGTTGCAGAGGTGTTACTTTTTATAAGCTATTGATTACAACGTATTGTAAACATATAAAATTTTTGTTGTTCTTTTATTAAAGAGGAAATGAAATGGATAACTATGCTATTAGCTTAGCGTCATCCTAAATGTTACTCAAAAAAGCAAATCTCACTTGATCTCATTATTTTCGCATTATTTTTCAAGAGAAAATAGATAATGTTCGTAGGAGAGTTAGATTATTAGCATACGAAGTTTGACGAAATCTTCTTAAATCAAAGGCATTCATATAAGAATTAGTTAGTTACGACAATCTCTTAAAAACGTTCGGAGGTTTAGCGCGGTCGTCTGTTGCGCGTTCATTAATTTTTTCAAGTGTCTAAATTTGTCGCGAAAAAACTAACAGATATTAAAGTAAATGTAATAAATAATAAATGTTAGTAAAATCATTGAATTGTAATTTGTGTGAATAAGAATAAGAAGTAAAAAGTGTTGACGTCTTTATTGCAATCGGTAAAATGTATTTTAGAATTAACAAACAGCAATGGCGGCAGTGTGAAAAAAACTAGGGAAAAAATTAGGCGAAAAAAATTGTCAAGTGGCAGTCGGGTGCCTTCGTTTTTAGTTTCGGGTGTGTTCACGAGATAAATGAAATGTAAATTACACGATAGCAAATATGAAGGAAGCATTTAAATAAAGGGAATTGCTAGTTATAATGCGGTTTTTATTTATACTGGCTTATGAATTGGCAACGAAACGATTACACAAACACACAAACACATCGTTTTAACAACACAATAAGTAAATCGAAAAATCGAGCACTCGGTCGCGTTAAAGAAAATATCAATATATAAAAGTATAAAAAATATGCAATTATTAAATAAATAAATGGTTCGACAAACAGAATATGGAAAAAATAATTTATTAAAGTTTAGGCAACTAATTAGTGAGTGTCAGTGGAGTAACAGAATCTCAAAAGCAATTTCCGTTGTTTGTGGTTTGTTCTCATATACAAGAATAAATTTCCGAATATTGTTTTCGCAGTCTGCTGGGCCGCACCAAGAAAAATCCTTTTGGCCTTTTTGGTAGGAATGTACCGTGCATGCTTACTAATGTCCAATTCTTACATTTGAATGCGAATATTGCAATGGTGTCCGAAGGATAAGTCCTTTGTCTTGGCATTGTCTTTTCTAATCCGTGTTCAATTGTCCATGTCCGTATTCGACAAAAGATATTTACTGGTTTATAACTTACATTTCGTAAAAATTCAATATCGCGAAAATTTTCAAGACGTCGATAAAAGGTAAGTGAAATATTGATTATTGTTATTATTAACAAGTTTAGACCAAGAGAATAAAATCTAGTAGCAAAAGCAGAATAAGTCCCAGAAACTATGCCTACCAGCTCTTCTTTCTTTTAAAGTTAGATTAGATGATTCGTTTTTTGATTTAATTCTAATAAAGTAAAAAATTTTATTGATATTAAGTTCGAAAGGTAATTTCAAGACATATATGTATATATATATATATATATATGTCTTACATATCTATCTATGCATATCTTACATATATATATTCAAATTATAAAAAACTCTTGGAGTTGGCAAAATGCAATACGGGAAATTGTAATTTATTTCAATAGCTTTTAAAATTTGAAGTAAAATAATTTTAAAACTATCAACAATTTTGCTTATTTTTGGAAAAAATTTCTTGTGTGCGTTCGTCGTAAAATAACTCTTTGCAATAGCGATTAAAGAGAGCCCTTTACTACATTACGTACATTAGTGAGAGGGATTTTGATGAGATAATTATGTACTTCTTCGTTTTTTTGCAACGACAATATGTTTGAGTAAAAGGTAATAAATGGACCGATTATAATTATAGTGCAATCATACAAACAGAAATTTATCGTTAGTACGATAAGCACTCATCGATGATGCCTAAGTGTTTGGCCGATAATTATTGGTAGAAATTGAATATAAAAACCAAACGAAATACACCAACTGACCCACTGATTTTTACTTATGGGTTAACACAATTGTAACAATCTATGAAAAAGTGTGTTTTTAACAATTTGTTTCGGAGAAAAGAAAAATTAGTAAAATAATATTTGAGTAGGTTGTTAAAGATATAATGAAGGATTAAAATAAAATTATTTTCAAAAAATATTCAATAAGCATCACCGCTATATTCCCGAAATATTTTCAATTAAAGAACTCTACGGCCCATACATATTCTAGTCCAACGTTGAAAGGGAAGAAACAGAGAAAATAAGTGAAATCACTATAGTGGGCCACGGGCTACTATTAATTACCCTACATCACCCTACATTGTTTAAGTAACGGCTTTTCAAAACAAGGGGTTATATGAGAAGCGGTTGAAGAAGTAGTTTGGTCCAAACCATTTCGAATAACGTTCGTCCTTGGTCAAAAATACATCAGCGTGCAAAATTTCGTCAAAAAATTTTTAAAAATAAATATGTGCGGATTTGGTTCATATATACAATATAAAGGATAGAACAACAATGTGTCTTTGACCACTCTCGTTGTCTCCTTCTCAACGACCCAAATACGGATCCTTAAAGCGTTTATATTCTTGACTAAGTAGGAACTCGCTTTATTCTTTTCCGAGCATCTGCTCTTTCTTAACTTAGCTCATGTTAAGCATCTGGTATGAATCCTGTCTCTTTCTTTGTGTTTTTGTTGTTGTTGCTAATTTGTTAAAACATCAATGAGCAAAATGTAAATATAGTTACTTCTTAACTTAAAAAATTCCAAGATTAACTTATGAACTTCTCTGAAAGGATTTCTTATAGATAATGTAAATAAGAAAATATTGCGAATAAATTTTTAGATTTTTTGGCTTAGATAATGCTTTCGCTCCTTTCAAGTTTGCTTTACACTCTAAGGCAATAATCAAAATCTACCGTACCGTACCGATACCCGACCGTTCTTAATATGGGTGCATGTAATTTGTTATGTAAAACATGCACGTTTTGTGGATTAAAAAAATGATTTATGTTTTGGAGCGAAATGATAACGGAACAACTACAAAAAGGTGAAATTAAAACAAAAGTTAACCGGAATAAAATACTAGCTAACAAAGATTTTACGGTCACGAAATCCGTTTTCACAAATATAGATACAAAAGCAACCCTTGAGATCATTTACATACATATGTACGTTATGTATATTATGTATATAATGTATGTGTATAGTGGGCGACTTGCTGTATACTGAAAAGCAAACGTTATCGTTAATCTGTTTCTCTTTGTGAACATGCAGGTTGCTTGTCCTATATACAGTGAAATCAGGTCCGATCGGGCGTCTTGAGGTCGTTTACGGACAAGCTTTAGCCATTAAAAGGAATTAAGAAAAGAAAATATTTTTTTTGCTCCGATTCAATCAAGGAGCATGTAATGGTGAATATATAAAAATAGCAAAGCTTTCGTAACTGTGGATGCATGATTTGTTGTCGTCTTTTTCGGCACTTAAATTGAATCAAACTAGAAACACTTATGGGAAGCCTGAATCCTCTATCCGCATTTTAGAGATTGTGAGTTTCAGACGGAAGGCGGGCCGACAAGCATACCTTGCTAAATTCATTCAAAAAACGATGTCGTTCCGTGTCTATATAACATAAATAAATAATGTAGGCTTTCTGACGCTTGTAATTGCTTTTTAGATTCGAAAACGATAAATCTAATATACTAGCATTCTTTGAAATTACGATGTACTAAAGGAACCAATCTGCTTTTTAGCTTCAAACTTTGTTGTTATACATGCTCAAGTTATAGGTGGAAGTATTCAAAATTCGTTTCGAAATCAATACACAAATGTAGGCACATTTTTAGGAGGAAAGCAAATTTCAATCTAATTTTTTAAAATTACCTAAATGTGTATCAATGTGTTATCGAAAACGGTAAACAAATATAAAATATAATATGGAAAAAGGTGTAAATTATCTTCAACAATCCTTAACCCTTAAACAGTATGTTTAGTAGTTTGCCAAGAATAGCAAGCACAGTGCTTGCAAACAACATGAAAATCTCTGAAATGTTTCGCATAAAGTTACACCTTTCACTTTTTAATGCTTTATAAATTCTTTTGCATAGCATTTCGCTACAAAATTTAACAAATTAATAAGAAAGCATTTATTTTAATTTAAAAACTATTGTGGATTTTATTGGAATTTCCTAAAGAAATTGCACTGTATCGATCATCGAATAAATGTATTTATGGGTAACGAGAAAATACGAAACATTTCTTTTTTCATACTTGAGATAAAGTGCGAGTGTACGTACAGTCAAATTTAGGCAATTTTGCAAAGTGTAGTAAAGTGTGCAAGAGTTTTTTTTTTTCACTTACCATGATTGCTTTCATAATTTACAGCGTGCGGTGAGATTAAGTAATGATTACAACGGTCTTAGATGAGGAATATATTTTCTTTGATGGTTCACTCGAATAATCATAAAAAAAAAATATTGCTTTAAAAATATCGACTTATCTAAAATCAAAAACATTTATTTATTAGGTAAGTTTTGCAGAAATGTGTGGCAAGCAACATGCATGCCGTTCATCATTCATGCTCTTAAGGGAAAAACCTTTGTTCGATGGATACTAATACTAATCCTCGCATTCTGTGTCCTCGTCTGACGCATTATCCTGGTAGAAAGGATGTTAAGCTTCATAATAGGTGTCACGTTATCGTCGTCTTATATGTGAAAGCATTTCTGAAAACAATAAATAATGTGGTATATAAAAATAATACTCATCGAATTTTCCAAGAGATGGCCGTGCCTCATCTTCGAGCAGATGTCAAACTGTGATTTCCCACAGTCTTTAAGCTATACGCACCAGCACCATTTACTTGGCCGAGGGCAACATGGTTTTTGGCGGCTTAAAAAAATAAGTGTTTTGTACCTAAAAAACGCCAAATGTACAAAATGGAAGTAGAAATACTACAGTGGGTCACGGATCTCCACCCTGCAGTTACTCACACAACTTTTCTAAATGAAGCATTGTATGGGAAGTGGTCGAGAAAGTGGCGGGGTCTGAACCATTTTCAATAGTGTTCGTCCCTAGGCCAAAACAACTCGGTGCGCCATATTTCATCATAATATGTCCTGTAGGTTGAAGAAAAAAAAAAATGACACAGAGAGTCAAGCTTAGATCGCTTCAGAACTACTTTCACAAGAGAATAAGACGGGAAGGAAAGCTTGAATTGATTCAGAATCCAGAAAACAAGACGGAGAGAGAAGCTTAGATAGATTCAATTTCCCCGCTAGCGGGGAATTTTTCAGAAATTGTTATGAAATTTGGTACCCCGTCATGTCCAGGCCCAAGGATGAACGCTGTTGAAAATGGTTCAGAGCATATTTCAAATTTCATCTTACGAAGGCTTAAGCTTGCTTGAATCAACTGATTAAGTAAATTTTTATATTGATATGGATTTTAAGTCAGACGTCGTTTTTCGTGAGTGTTCTGTACCAATAGTTTACTCTCGGATGAGTTTAAGTCCTCATTATAAATTTTTGAATTCACATAAAGCTTTAAGAAACTCCACAACAATGGCAAGCTTGCTGAAGTAAGTTTGTGAAACCATATCCTTCATCATGATTAAGACGTAAAGGCAAACAAATAAAAAGCAGCATCACTGCGACATTTGTTATAAATTCAAGTGGAATGAAATCCGGAATTTGCTTGTCACACGTATTCGTGGATATTATGTTAATTTATAAGCGTGAAATTCTCTCCAGAGCAAGTATTAATGTTAAATACTCCCCGTATAGACAAAAATCCCAACACTTATAAACACTAAGATACTCTATAGAAATGAAAAATAATAACTGCAGTAATTCCAAAAGAAAAGCGAGAAGCGAAACAAAAAGCAAAGACAAGAAGTAAAAAAGGAAATTTTACACGAAAGTTGGCAAAAACGTAAATCCGTTATGCTTTTTCTCTCACTCTCTCTCACTCTCTCTCTCTCTCTCACTCTCTCTCTCTCTCTCTTTCTTTCTTTCTCTTTCTCTACTACCCCTACACTTTTCAATTCAGTTATCGATAATGGATGCTTGTCAATGTAAAATTGCAAGAGGGATTTCTTCCTTGCCAACCCAATAAAAAAGAATACATATATATGTATATATCTTCACTAGCTATTAAATCTAATACAAATATCTTTTGTTAAGATGAAATAACTTCACTAAAAATCCTTCATCTGCTTCTCTTTTTATCCCATATATTTCATATATATTATTAGCAAAATCGCAAGAGAGTCGAATCTGACATATCTTTCTTGCCTA